GTGCTGACAAAGTGTGAAGTGGAACAAGGATTTAGAGAATAATTTGGAAATATGCATGAAATCCCTTTGAAAATGTTCATTTCTAGGAGTATATTTAGGAAGTAAATGGACAAATATGCAAAGATGGGCTCAAAGATACTCATCATCATGTCAGAAGAAAAAAAACCAGAAGAGCTGTAGGGATTAGTTAAAATATGGTTAGTCTATATAATGGATTACAATGCAGCCACTAAAATCAATGATTTATGGGCAAATTTAACAACATAAAAATATTTAGCTATACATATCAAACAATAACAAAAAAAATCTGAAAAGGTGTATATCCAAATATGTACCCAGGGTAAACTCTAGGTGGTGGGATTATGGGTATTTTTTTTCCTATTTTTCTGTATTCTCTCAATTATTTGCCATGAACCCATACTACTTTTACAATCAGAAAACATAATGAAGCAATTCTTATTTTGAAAAAAACTATGACCTAGATTTATGACTACTGACACGTGAAACATTTACCAAATATAATGCAAAAAACCAGGTTAAAAAGAGTATTTAACATCTTTGAAAAAAACATATTTAGTTATATTTACAGATATATATTACAGAAACCATCTTGGAGACCATATATCCAAATATTAACAATGTTTATTTCTGGTGGTAAGGTGATATTTTTCTTTTTACTTATTTTTAGTTTCTGTACTGTAACATATTATATCATTTGCTTTATTTTCTTTAGAGTTTTTTTTTTTTAATTAAAGACCTACACAAATGCATTAACTTTGTGTTGTCAAGTCAGGTCTTGGACATGGGAAAAGATCATAAAGTAACTCACTGCATCTTTTGAATCTCATCTTCATCTACTTTCTGCTTCTTCTCTTTCTTTTCTTTGGTATCTATTTTCATTTTTTTGGCTGCAGGAGTAAGTAATGCTGAATCTTCCCTTTCAACTCCTGTTAAATCTGAGATGTCCTGACTCTTGAGCTGAGAAGATGAAAGAAATGCTATTATATATTTGGCCTACTTTCCAGACTTGCACAATATAAGAAGACATCATTCTCAGTGGACTACAACAAATCCATTTGTTCACTAGTCTTCTGATTCCAGGCACCCGCTATACCATCAAGTGTAAGATACACTCTCTCTCCTAAGGAAGTTTATAGTCCAGCTGTGGAAAGAAAACCAACTAAATAATCCAATATTCTAAGTTAACTATGATCATAGCTCCAGCATCTATTTACAAAGGCAATGAAATGCCAAGATCATGAAACCATTCTCCCCCTGAGTCCACTCTCCTGGCCTTATTCTTTAGAGGGGATGTCAGAAAAGTCCTCTCCATCCAACCAGTATCTGTATCATCTAGCTACTGTTATCATGCAAATATTTACTTCCCACTAATTGACTGAAAACTTTTTGAATATAGGTTTATCTCTTAGTATTTATCTCTCCCCACATAAGTAATGAACACAGTTTTACTCATGTTTTTCTTTGTGGTCTGGTATATGATCAGTTTTTACAAGTGTTTCAGAAGCATCAAACAAAGAATTTTGTCTTCTGTTGGTGCAAATTTCTGTAAGTAGTGAGCTCCCTGCTGGACTAAGCTAATTATTGTTCAAACCCTTTTTGTCCTGAGATCTGCTTTAAAAGGTTCCTTCTTAAAATAGTTTCATTACCTTTCTCCCTTTTTCTGAAAGTTCTTAGTTTACATATTTTGATGAAACTTTATGCTCTGAACAGCTGTGTCCATCTAATGCAGTGTCTTTCCCCATGATCTCTTTAAGTCCCTTATAGCTCTAAGGCCCCAAGATTCTCTAGAAACGGAGCTCAGGAGAATGCTGAGATTCTGGTCTTCTGACCGATGCTCAGCTAGGCAACAGTGCTGAGCTCTTGCGGTGATACATTGATGGGTTCGGTGTATTTTACGTTACAGACACTCTTGGTCATTAGCCCCCAGGTCACCCGTAGCAGTTAAATGTCCCAAGGTAAAGAACGTGACTAAAACAGTAACTCCCTCAAAGTTTTCCTTTAACGACTCTGCAGTGTATAATGACAAAGTTATGCTTAAGGAACATCTAAGAAAAACCATATTGCGGTTAAAGGGGTCCTACGAATCCTGGGTTCTAGCTCTTGCAATAGTCTCCCTGTGGCATCCGATCACAATTTCCTCACCAGGAAAACCAAGAGGCTACTTAAAATACTCTTAGAGGTAGCTTTAATACCTAAGGGTTGGGATTAAAATATTAACCCGTGCTTGGGTCTCTGGCACCGAACCAGCACTATAGTTTTGTCTTCTCCCTCTTCTCCACCCGCCCCACAACTGTAGATCCAGAGGGAGTTTTGCGAGTTCGAGTTACTTTAGCTTGGCAGGGACCAACCAGAAAGCCGGTCGAGCAGCCGGTAACAGTCTCAGAGAACTCCTCCGGCCTCAATCCTACCTGGCTTTCCTCTAGCGAAGCTTCTTTCAAGTCCGCATCTCCTTCTCCTTCAGCTTCCTCCGGGATTCCCTCAGTGTCAGTAGCCGCAGCGCCCCCGGGGGCAGCAGCGGTCTCTTCTGACGCCCCTGTCTCTCCACCTTTTTCCGTGAGCGACTCGCAGGCATTATCCATCGCCGCGAGAAGAGGAGGGGAGGGGAGATCGTAGAGCTGTCAGACTCGAGCACTGCGGAGGGCGCGAGGCACAGCAGCCCAGGAGCTCACTTCCTTTTGTCGCTCTGCGATGACATCATCTCTACAGCACCTCGGAGCGCTCAGTTTCAGACTCTAGGAGAGGATTTCAGGGCTCCGTTTTAATTCTGATTTGGTAGCTGTGGCAAGAGGGAAAATTGAAGATACGGAATTCAGTTTGTGGATTTTCCACTTCGGGAAGCCAGCGTTCGTAAAGGAGAGCTGTGTGTGATGAAGGACTTCTTTTCCTCTTCCGCCTTTCTAAAAAACACAATGTCAGTTAACGCCTTACTTAATCCGCTTTCCTCAAGAGTCAAGTTTGGGGACGGGAGAAAACTCAATTCTGTTGTCTGCCCGTGTCTTGGAATGTGGCTACCTGGTAAACTTTCAGGCAGGGACTCAACCTCGTACATTCAATTGGACACAGACCGCAGGCCTGAGTTTACGTCGAATTCCAGCATTTCTCTTCTGTTCCTCAAGCACCTAAACAAATGTCACATATTGAACAGAGTTTATCCAATCCATTTATTAACTCCACAACTATTGAGCGCGTACTTCTATCCAGGGACGGTGCTAGTACCAGAAACAAAATGTAGTTTCTATTCAATTAAAGTTTTCGAATTCACTAGTACTCAAGATTGGGGTCGATTTCACGAACCTGATTTTTTATTTAAATTTGGTTAATCTCTTGAGTAAGAGGAAACAAATCCTAACGGGAGGGAGGTCTTTCCTTTGAATGTTTCGCTTTAGTGAGCCATTTCAGGGATTGGGAGCATGAAGTGGAAAATTTCTATTTTAAAATTATCTTACCTTCCCTCCCTGAGGTACAGAGGGGGGCATTTTATTCACCTCTGTACGACTAGGTTTCCACACCCCATTACATATTTGATTTATGCATGCTGAAAGAATGGATTTATAAATTCAGCTGCGCGTTACATTGCTGTCTTTGTTTCCATACAGCCTCTATGAATTACCGTATTTCCTGTCCTTTGGGCCCCCAAAACCTTTGGAGCAGGAGCGCACCTCTTAAGGTGCATACAGGTGGGCCTCTTTTGTTCCCTTACACCCGTCCAGCGGGTGTCCACACCGCGATTGCCTCTTGACCCCGAAGGCGTATCTTCGCACACCAGGGACCCTTCCGCGCAGATCACAGCCACCTGCTCCCGCCAGCCGAGCCCCGCCCAGCTAGGTGAGCAAGGGGCGGGGCGCGGGGGGCGCGTGACGCCAGATCCCGGAAGTGACGCTCTTGAAGGGAGGGGGGGAGTCGAGGGAGGGAGAGGGGGTGGTGTCCCCGGCCGGTTTGTGGGGGTGCGTTGCCCGGAGACAGAAAGTTTGGGAGCCCGTGCGGTCTCTGCGGCGGCCCCGAGAAGGGGACCCAGGGGACGGCGGCCCTGGGGATGGGGAAGGAGCAGGAACTGCTGGAGGCGGCCCGCACCGGGCACCTCCCGGCCGTGGAGAAGCTGCTGTCCGGGAAGCGGCTCTCCTCAGGCTTCGGGGGCGGCGGCGTCAGCAGCGGTGGCGGCTCCGGTGGCGGCGGCGGCGGCGGCGGCGGCGGCGGCGGCGGCGGCGGCAGCGGCCTTGGCTCCTCCAGCCATCCCCTCTCCAGTCTGCTCAGGTGGGTTACGCTCCGGGGCCGGGCTGCCGCCTGGAGCCCCCCTCTGCCCCGCCCGTCTCCTGGGTCTCCGGAGAGGTCAGGGCTCCTGAGACCTGGACGCGGTGGGTTTGCGGAGTGTCCCGGGCCGGCATTGGTGCGGGTTCGCTCAGAGTCGGGCTCTCGTCTCGCGTTCTGACCCGGCTGCGAAGAATGGTGGGAGTGCCCAGGTGGCAGCCTCCGCCGCATGGTACAGCCCGGCTTCACCCTCGCCTGCTATAGGGTCGCAGATCCCCTGTAGGAAATTGATTCCCTTCTTTTGGGAACTTGGAACCTTCCACCAGGCTCTTGCAGGACTTGGCTTTTGTTGCTTCTATTAAAATTTTCTCTTGATTTATCATGTTCTTGTTCTTATAGTGAACTTTATTGGATTAGTGTGTTAAGTGGCATATGCAGGATTCATCAGGAGGGTTATTAATCAAGAAATAAAGGTTTAGAAAAACTTGTTTAGGAAACTGAGGGGTGCTTTAAGTTTTTCCAAGGTTTGTTGTTAAACACTTGAATCTGGAGCTATAAGGATTGAGAGAAAAAGGTCATTTTTGTGTGACTTGGAGGGGAGATTGAAGGTCCCTTGTGAGTTAATAAAATGTGTTGGTTCAGCAGCACTTTCATAGCTTGTTTTCTTTTCCTTCCGTGTTCCTTTGAGGTTTTCAAGAAGTGGAAGTTCATTTAGAAATGGCTTCGTTTGCTTTTGTTACCCAGTAATTTATGTAACTACATTTTGAATGAGCTTGGACCAAAAGGAGCAAGCCCAAGACTCCAGTACATTATTAGGTATTAAGCACTGAATACCCAGGTCTATATAGGAAGATTTTAAAAGCAGTGTAAGAGAAGAACATCAAGGAGTTGTATGGCCAGTCAGATCAGTACTATTTCCTGCAATCTCTAGCCTCTAGAAAATGCTGTCACATAGGTGGTATTCAGGATTTGTTGAATAAATAAAAGTATCAATTAGAGGATGATAAATTCTAAATAAACTCATGGTGGTATTCACCATAATTGTTAGTAGTTCAGAGAAATGAGACATTACTTTGGGGTGAGAGGGGACTAGGGCTTCTAGGAGGGACTTGAGCTGGCTTTGAAGGATGTGAGAATTTGGGTAAGTGAAGTATGGTGAGAGTTTTTCAGGTGGTTACACCATGATAGAGTTGGTAAAGGAGAATTATTTGGCAGTAGAAGAACTTCCTGCCTGGAGCTTTGAGTGGTTAGGTGTTATAAAGGGAGATATTAAATGGTGAGTACACTTCCATTTTTCAGAGTGACTTAGTCTCTCTCATGTTTATATTCCCTGTCCCTGGATTAGTGCCTGACAATTTAGGTGTTGAATAAATGTATTTTGAGTGCATGAGTTGAGTTTGAATAATTACTTTGATATTTCTGCACTTCTATCTGAGAGCTGACAGTAAGACTACAAATTTGGAGGTGCCTGTCTCTAATGAGCTGAATGATGTAGCGGTTTGCCAGAGATGCTTTACCTTCCTTGCAAATCCTGCTGAAGTGAGAACCTTTTGCATATCTCCCGCATTCAAGTACAGGTCAACAAGTTATTACCACTCTCAGAGGTTGTTGAACTTCTGCTGAGGAGTTAGCTGTCAGGTGGTTAAGCAAGACTGGGAAATCTTTGTTAAGCACAGTATTTTTACTTTGGGCCTGATGCTAATATGCCCTGTCTCAATCATAAAATGTGGATGGTGTCTCCATTCCCCTGTGTAAGAGATCTGACTTGCTCCTGTATCTCTTGTAGAAATGGTAGAGGGCCTAAGAGCTGCTCCAGCCTCTCATCCTCTTGACTCCTAGGGGCAGGGAGGATCTGCAGGTGCTAGTTCCAGTAGGTGTGTCATTAATTAGCAGTAACTCTGGTTCAACTTAGTGAAAGATTTCTGAGCAAATGAGAATATGCATTTAAATAATCCTAGGTCAGCATGTCCTCCATTTTTAGGTTTGAAAATAGTAGAAGGTACATTCACTCTGCCCACGTTCCCCACCTCAAGGACCCTGGGTTATTTAATGAGAACTACAGAATCATAGCTTCAGGTTTGGCCTTTGCATCAAAGGCCATATCCTACCCTTACTAGTACTGCCAGCTGCAGTGTAAGTTTGTCCAGCTGTTTGAGTGATCAAATAAAGATGGCAGGAGTAGGAACTTACAGCTGCAATGGATATAAATGTTCCAAACCACATGTGTGTTTGTTTGTCTATTTATGACCCACCCATCTCCCACTGCGGCAATTCCACAAAGGCTTTCTGCTTATTCTGCTTAGGACTTAACACAGATCTCTCAAGCTTCCACTTCTTTGGAACCCATCATCTGTAATGTACAGTAGTTCATTGACTCATACTTCGCTAGCCTAGCTTTCATAATTTATTGCTTTGGTTTGTCAATATAATGTTTACATCCAGTAACCCTCACCAGTTGAGAATATACTCGAATCAGAAAGTCAGCAAGAAGATACCTACTAGGAGAAAGAAGTTACAAACTTCACATCCTCCTGACCTTCACTTATTTACTGTACGCATATTTATTTAGGGGCAGCATAGTATTTTGCTTCAGACTGCTTGTTCTGGAGTGAGACTGCCTGAATTCACATTCCACAGCTATCTAGCTGCTTGGCTTTATACAAATTACTCAACCACTTTGAACCTCAACTTCTGCATCTGTAAAATGGGGATAATATTATTTGCCTTATAGGTACTGAATTGGACAATGTGTGTAAGAAACTTACCATAGTTTTTGGTACATTGTAAGTGCTCACTGTTATCCACCCTCAGTTCAGTTCAGCATATACAATTTTGCCATGCTGTCCCTCCTATGTGCAAAATACTGTGCCAGACACATTTTAAATGGTGTTCATTCACACTTGGGTATCTTTTTTCCAGGCCATGCAGATTGGAAACAGTAAGTAAGGGAGAGAACCTGCTCAGGCAGACACATTAATGCCATTCATTTACAAAATATTTTCCCATCATCTACTTTATGCCAGGCTGATTTCTAGATGACCTGCAGACTTTATCTCAGACTTGGTACATGGTAGCTGCTCTACCAAAATTAGTCTCTCTTCTGGTACATGGTCTGTTCCCTTGCAGTGTTCATAGTAGAATGATATGTTGGTGTGACAAATTGATAAAATAAAAGACAGAAAAAGGAATTAAAATCAAGCATAATCCCCTCAGTACTTTGGACTGGTAATGTAGATGTATATAGCTCTACACATCTGGTTAGGCCCCAAGCATCATTATATTATAGCTTAGTGTTGTAATTTCTGTTTATTATGACTCTTAGCCATTAAATTAAGATTAAATTATGTTCCATATAGCTTGTTAATGAAAAAAGTAGGAAAAACATATTTTAATTCTATATTGAAAATGATTCAGATATAGTTCCTGTAACTTAAAAGAACAAGCAGTAAATTATCTAGAAAGCACAGTTTATCTAAAATAGGCTAGTCCTTCGGAGGTTATGGATAGCATAGCTTTTACTTAACATTGTCTCACTTTCTAATTGTTGAACAGGTGCGTGCCTTCAGTTTGTAGCTTGGGACAGGTACTGTATTAAATTCTTTTTAACTCATGGGCACTTTTTCAGCACTGGGCACATAGAAGGCACTCAGATTCTCCTGTAATGGAGAATTTGATATGTTTATTGTTATAGTAAAACTACTGATCTCCAAGAAAGCAGCTTCTGTATGAGAATATTGTAAGATTTGGGCTAAAAATGAGTCCTATCAGTTAAAGGGCCCAAAGATCTGAGAAAAGGAAATGTTAAAGGAAAACACAGTTGGGAACTAAAATAATGAGCTAAATACTGATGTATGTTGAATATATATGCGAATGATGTAAAGTAAAATGCATTCCTGAAGGTTCAGAAACACTGAGAAACGAAACCAAAGTCCATGATTGAGGAGTAGATTGTGTCATGGGTTAGGAAAATTCTATACTTTATTTCCCAGGCATGAGAAGAGTGAATAAGAAAAGAAGCCAAGGAGGCTTGCTGGAGAAATATGAACTTTTATAGACAGTAGCAATAAATGTGGCTATAAACTAGTTTTTACTCTTTCATTGGGGTGGATTGGGGTAGGATTTTGGGGTGGTAGAGACTATCCAAAAACAAAATGAGTTTCCCAAAGATATGAGAAGGTTCTGAGATAAGGAATAAAGAATGAAGTCTGAAAAATGGACCCCATTTCGGGGACAGTAACATGTTCTTTCTCTCCAATGTCAGAAGGTATGACATTGCTTTTAATAAAGATTCCTAATATTTAAGGAATTCGGACTGAAAAAGAATGGTTTGCATAACCATCCTATTGAAATGGTTCTTTTATTCTCCTCCAGAATGGATCTGTAACTTAGAAATTATGGCATGATAGCTTTTTGTTATGCTGACCCTTGTACTTTACCCTTCTACTGTGCCAGATTTCTTTTGAATGTGACTTTTTTGAGCAAAATGATTTTAACATCCTAAGGAAGAGGGCAAAACTGACCATGTAAGGATTGTAGAATGGACAGTCCCAGAAGCAGGCTGTCGTGGACTTGTCTGATTACGTTCCCGCTCTTCTAAGAGAATGCAAAAACAGACAACAAAATGAAACACAGCTACCCATTAGGATAGCATTTTCTGAACCTTCCACTAAACCTCCCTAATTTTGAAATGATTTTGAAAAAACTTTAAATGCTTCCTTGTGTGATTTTATTGGAATGGCAGCCTTTTTCCTGTACTTTGAAAATGCTGTACGTTTTGTTTTTTCTAGAGCAGAATGTGGTTCCCCTGTTTAAAAACAAAAGAAAAAGGTAACATGCTTGGAAATAACTTGTGTGGGGTTCCTTTATATCTGAAAATCTAGAGAGTGCCTAATCTTTTTTTTTTTTTATTATTAAGGTATCATTGATAAACACTCTTATGAAGGTTGCACAAGAAAAACAATGTGGTTATTACATTCACCCTTATTATTGAGGCCCCCCCATACCCC